GAAAGAGAATTTGCTCTGTAAATCTTCACCCAAATTAAAATAAAATAAAAAATTAAAATTAAAATTAAAAACAAGGGTTAGGGGGAGATAATAAAGAAATCAGAACATGAGAAAAAGAGCAAGATAGACTCTTAGGGAGGTAGAGTGGAGAAAAGACTATCACAGAGATGGGAGGAAATTGCATACCAAGGAGTGCTTAACCATCTTTGACAAGACAACACCTCCCTCCTGTGACCTTTTAGAATAGTGCTACAAAGCCTTTTTAAAACAGATTGCCTGGGCCTCCCCATATATTAGAATCCATTCCTCAGTAACTGGTAGTCTCACAAAGCAGAAATCTCCTACCCACATGCACACACCTTCCAAGGAACAGATGAAATCAAGCCAAGAGTCAGGTGTGGATTTCAGAAGAAAAGTGCCCCCCTCTGCTGGTAAGGCAAGGTATCTAGAGAGAGATTTACTCTACCTCTCATTCTGCCCAGGAGGAGTACACAGTAACCACTGAGGCTGCTGGGAGAATTACAAGGCTTTGACAGGTAGAACTATTGAAAGTGATCAATTTTTGTTTCAATTCAATAAAGAGCCCAAAAGGGGCCACCTGTCTGTCACATGCCCATTCCCAGTCACCACTTTCTCACAAATCCTTAGTGGTGGGGAGAGTTAGACCAAGGCTGCAAAAGGCCAAGGCCTCTTGGTAATGAAGCCCAGTACCAAACCAACATGGAATGTCTGAGGGAGCTTGCAGGAGTGGGTCTCCCTTCACTCAAAGTGGTGAAACCAGTGTGAAATTGTTCACTACAGATTAGAAAGAAAGCATGAGCAAGCCTATACTTACATTGCTTATTAGGTAATTTGCCCCTGAGTTCACCTGTTAGTTCAGAATACATGTATTAAGCATCACCTTGTCACAGGCAGCACCCATTGCCGGTGAGTCGATTCCTACTCATAGCGATCCTATAGGACAGAGCAGAACTATTGCATAGAGTCTCCAAGGCTGTAATCTCAACAGAAGCAGTCTTTCTTCTAGGGAGTGACAGGTGGGTTTGAACTGCTGATCTTTTGGTTATCAGCCAAGTGTTTAACCATTGTGCCACTAGAGCTCCTTTGTATAAAGCACTAATGTAAATATAAAGATAAAAGCCTAGCCCCCAGCCTTGTAGGGAGATAGTTAGACACCTTCAGTACTCTCTGTCTTTCCCTCTTCATAGATAATCTGGTCAACAGCTTTGTACTAAATTGTAAATAACTGATAAAGGATACGACATTGATGTTCCCTAGAGTAGTTACCAAGGAACTCTGGTGGTGCAGTGGCTAAGTGTTCAGCTGCTAACTAAAAGGTCTGTGGTTCAAACCCATCAGCTGCTCCAACGTAGTCTGCTTCCATAAAGATTTACAACCTTGGAAACCCTATGGGGCAATTCTACTCTGTCCTATAGGCAGTGGCATCATTAGGGGTGTATATGGAGGGTGTGGACCATACCAGGTAACACTGTCAGAGGGGGTGACACCAAAATAAAATATTTGTGCATTGTTGAAGCAAAAATTTTTTATTTTTTATAAAAATATCCCTGTAGTCACTTACAAAACAAAAATATTTTTTGTAAGCCCAGCTTACATGTATCAATATACCTACAAGGCTGAAAATCTATGCTAATTTACTTTTTTGAACCTTCTGATAAGGTCAGGTCAGAGCTGTCATTAGTGCCCATTATACTGATGCGTTGAATCACGTGATTTTATCTGCACATGTTAAAAGCAAGTGCTGTTGTTTCCATTGCTGTCAGTGTTTTCATAATCACTGATTCCGTCACATTTTTAGTGCTTTTGCTACCGTATTGTGGTAACTAGTATTTTTGAACTTATATCATTAAGTTTTTCAAGACTGAAGTAGTAATTAAAGGAAAAGAAAGAGAAAAAGTCTTCTGCTCAGTTACAAATACTGTTATAACTAACAATATTGTAATTAAATGTAGAAAGATTTTATAAAAATTACAGTCAATGTCATGCAACAAAATGCATATGAACTGCTTTATGGAAAATGAACTTTCACCCAAATCACAATAAAAATACAAAAAAAAAATCACTGTTTAATATCTCATTTAATCCATGTAAAAAAAAGAAAAAGAAAGATTTTATAAAACAGCTTTGTTGTTAGTATTCATATAATCTAAGAAATATTACATTTAAGCAATTTAAAGCTGTATTTATCACATATTATTCTTTGATGTAAATTGATAATAAATATTACTAAGGATTCTATATGGTCTGATATGGGAGGACGTCCATGCGGGGGGTGACACCATGAATTACTGCACTGGGTGACACCAGCCCTAGTGATGCCACTGCCTATAGGGTAGCTATGAATAAGAATTGACTCCATGGCAATGGTTTAATTAGTAAGAGTAGTTAGAATCCCTCAGAGAAGCATTTTAGGGGCTACCAGCTCTGCCAACAGGTAAAGTCAGGCTATCCCAGACTGTCTGTTTGTACCTCCAGCTTCCTCTCACTTGTCCTAAACTCCTGGTTCATGCAGAGATGAGAAGCCCAAGCAAGGATCAGGGAGATGCTGTCTGGCCTCCCGCTTTGGAATCTCAGGCTTCTCCCTCCAGGTGACCATTTTAACAGTCTAAGTGCTCCATCAAGGTAGTGACGGTTCAGTGGTAGAATTCTTACCTTCCATGGAGAGGACCTGGGTTAGATTCCTGGCCAATACACCTCAAGTGCACCCACCACCCATCTTTTGGTGGAAGCTTGGGTGTTGTTATCATGCTGAACAGGTTTCAGCAGAGTTTCTAGACTAAGATGGACTAAGAAGAAAGGCCTGGTGATTTACTTCCAAAAATCAGCCAATGAAAACTGTATGGATCACAATGATCCAATCTATAGTTGACAATGGGGATGGTGCAGGACCAGGCAGTGTTTCACTTCATTGGGCATGGGGTCTCCATGAGTCAGGGGCCTACTTGACGTCAGCTAACAACAATAACTGCCCCATCAAGGAGTCTGCCAGAAGGTTTGCAATATGTGGAAATGCCCCCCCCCTCACACACACACACACACACGTAAAAGTGCAGCATTCCTCAAGATAGTATAGTGCACTGGTTAAAAGCTGCAGCACCCAATCTTTCTCAGCTGTGGGACCTTGAGCAAGCTACTGAACATATCTAGACCACATTTTATTCATCTGAAAATGAGGGTAATAACAGCCCCACCCTCAAAGGGTTATCATGATGGGAAAAGCCTCCCATCTCCCCCTCACTCACCAGTGCACATAACAGATGCAAAGACCCAGCACTGTCCATACTTCACAGGCTGCCCACCCTGAGTGGACCACTGCCGCAGGATGGCCACGCTGCCGTTCCACTCCAGGGGGCTGACACCCCTGGAGTAATCCTCTCCCCAATTCCCCTGTAGCACGCCACTGTCATCATTGCTGTTGATCTGAAAGGACAGACAGATGGGTGTCCACAGTGCTCAGGGGAAACCCAGACTGTTCTCAGACAGTGACAGGGAAGCCTTCCCTCCTTACCATGGCACTCACCACCCTGCAGACATACACCACGTCGTTTCTCTGAGAACAGTCTTTGGACGGGTTCTTTAAGAAGTACAGGCTCTTGTTCAGGATCTCAAAGCAGATATCTATGATGTCATCTTCAAACTTCCAAGGTGTGGTGGGGGAGAGAAGAGTGAAAAGGTCTGAGTTCTGAAACTTCAAGTCACTAGCACAGGCTTTTTTGTGAAAAAAAGTGGGGTGAAAATATACACAACAAAACATAACTCCAATTCAATACTTTCTACATGTATTCAGTGACACTGATTACATTCTTCAAGTTGTGCAACCATCCTTGCTATCCTTTTCCAAATTATTCCACCATCATTAACATAAACTCAATGTCCCCTAAGCACCCCCCTTTCTCCATCCCTCCCACCCCTGGTAACCACTAGTAATCTTTGGTTTCTATATATTTGCTTATGTGAGATGATACAGTATTAAGTGAGATCATACAGTATTTGCCCTTCTGCAACTGACTTACTACTTTCAGCATGATGTTTTTGAGGTTCATCCATGTTATAGTATGTATAGGGACTTCATTCTCTTTATGACTGAATAATATTCCACTCTGTGTGTGTGTGTGTGTGTGTGTATACCACATTATTGGGAATATATTAGATTCAGAATTCTGAAGACTAAACTGTCACTCTGGCTGAAAACACAAACAGAATTTAGAAAGATGAGAGATCCCTGTTGGCTGAAGAGGTCTGAGAAGGCTTCTGGAGCCAATGTGTTTTGAAGGACAGATTAGACAGGAAGAGATGAGGATGGGGCATTTATCTGAGATCTGTGAACACAGTGGGTAACAGAGAAAGGGGCTTAGATCTTCTCCTATCTGGAGGACTTGCAGGAGTAAGGAAAGACCAATGGGTAAGTATGGGCCCAGACATGCGAGGAGAAGAAAAAGAATGCAGAGAGCCTGGAAACCAAGTAAAGGAGATCAGAGCTGATGCTGTAAGCACTGGAGAAGCCCATGTAGGCCATGACATATGTTCACAACATATGTCACAACCATTCTGGCTGTCAAATGCACTGGTATTTGTCTCAATTTCAAAAAATTGCACAAATTGTTAGAGGCAAGAATGGGGAGAATATGATCTTTCTCAGCAAGGCTCCTTGTTTTGCTACCTCCTCACTCTCTTCCCTCTAAGTGTTTGTGCACAGAAAGCTGAGGTGGCAGAGGGTGGAAGAGAGAGACTGCACAGGCTGTGAGGAGCAGTTCAGAGTGAAAAAGTTGCCCAGAATCAAAGATCCCCCCACCATACAATGACTATACATTTGAATCTGTTCATTTTTTTCAGTGATGATCAAGTATCATGGTTTAAATTTTTCAGAAAAGTCGTTATCTATTGGAGCTGTATTCTGAAGTGTTACTGGATTAAACTGCATGGTATCTGCAATTTGGTTTAAAAAATTCCAGTGGTGAAATTAGGAAAGGGGTCAGTGCAGGAGATCCCACTCTATCAGTGGGAGAAAAATGCAGGAAAAAAACTCAAAATCATAAAAAAAAAAAAAAAAACAGGCTTACTGGTCTGATAGAGATGGGTGAACCCCACCCCCCACCCCAGACTATAGCCTCTAGTCATCCTTCAGGCCTGGAATTGAACTCACTCCAGTGGCTTCCAACCAAACAATAGACAGGCATATAAGGTAAACATTTTTATCAGGTAGATACACTGCTTAGAACGATGGATAATGAGAGATCAGAAAGGCAGTACTGGCACAGGGAGATAGCACAGAGGACAGGAATGTGTAAGAAAGAAGGACACAGGAAAAAGGTAACCACATGGAGAAAATGGGAAGACAGTTGTTATATTATGAGGATTATAATCAGTATCATGAAACAACATGTGTATGAACTTCTGTATGGACAATGAATTTGCTCAGTGAACTTTACCCAAATAACAATAAAAATTGGGGGAAAAAAATCCATTGGTGAGGTGGAGGGAATGAGGGCACAAAGACCAGAGTTGGCAAACATTTTCTGTAAAGGACCAGCTAGTAAGTATTTTAGGCTTTGCAGGCCATAGGTTCTCTGTCACAACTACTCAGGTCTGCTATTGTAGCATCAAAACAGTCACAGATAATACCTAAATGAAGGAACATAACTGTGTTCCAATAAAACATTATTTATGTACACAGAAATTTAAATTTTATATAATTTTCACATTCCACAAAATATTATTTTTAAATTCTTTCTCAACAATTTAAAAATGTGAAAACAATTTTTAGCTTGTGGGTCATGTAAAAACAGGTAGTGGGCCCATGAGCTGTCATTTGTAAACTGCAGGTATAGATGAAACAAGATTCACCATTAACTGATCTTACGGAAGGTAACAGATGGGAACATAGAGGCTTATTAGCGCAGCCTGTCTACTTTGATTGGGGTGCCTGGGTGATGCAAACTGTTAAGCGCTCGACTAGTAACTGAAGAGTTGGTGATTTGAACCCACCCAAAGGCTCTTTGGAGGGGTGGCCTGGCAACCTGCTTGTGAAAGTCACAGCCTTAAAAACTCCATGGAAGAATTCTACTTTGCACACATAGAGTCGCCATGAGTAGAATCAACTTAATGGCAACTGGTTTGTTCTTTTCCTACTTTTGATTGTGTTTTAAGTTTTCTATACGCAAACACAACGCACTGCCGTTGAGTCAGATCTGACTCATAGTCACCCCTCCTCGGGTTTCCGAGGCAGTATCACTATGGAAGTAGATTGCCCAACCTTCCTTCTGAGGAGTGGCTGGTGGGTTTGAACACAAGCCTCCTGATTAGTAGTCAAATACCTTAGGCACTATGCCACCAGAGCTATAATAAAATACTAAAAACTAAAGAAGAAAGACTTCTCCCCTTCCTTTTTTTCCCTCCCCACTGGTTGGGGAATTGGTCTAGCATCTTACACCTTGATCCTGGTAGTAGCCCTTCACGAGCTAACAGTTATGTAAGAGCCATCCTCAAGGAGTCCCCCCACCAAACCCAATTCCTGCTGACACTATTACCTGCCCATAGTTCCAAGGCCACATGGTGATGAATCTCTCATGACCCTTGTAAAAAAAGCCGTAGTCCATCATGATGTACTCCTGCAGCAGGACTTCACTTGGCAAGTAGACATCATCCTCTGAGTGGATAAGAAGTGCCCAAAACCCCAAACCAAAGCAGAGTAGTAAAATTAAAAACAATAACAAGTGCATCGTGCTAAAAGACAGGAGAAACAATGAGTTGCTTGAGTAGATGGCAACAGAAATTAAGACCAAACCCCTGTAAGAGTTTTTCTAGAGGCCATAATACAATCTATAAAAATAATGGTATTATTTCCTGATTATGAAAGTCACAGGCTTGTTGAAGAGATCTGGAAAATATGGATTGGCAGAAAGAAGGCAGTGACAGTAATCATTCCTCCCCAGACACGTACATTGTTAGATTTTCATGTATTCAGGTCACCTTCTCTTTCTATGCACATATATTTAATATAATTAGAATCATATTGATTAAGAAATCTATTTTACCTACACAATTAATGTCTTCCTCATGACCTTGAAAATTCTTCGTGAGCATGTGATATTATTTGAGTGAGCATGTGATATTATTTGAGTGAGCATGTGATATTATTTTGCATAGACAGACAGCAGTTTAGCTTCTGGGCTTTGTAGAAGAATGTCACAGCATTCTCAATGAGTCGGGTTAGCATTACAACCTATGAGCAAGTCTTACCTGCACTCCAAGGGTTAAAAAGCAAGATGAAAGTCCCCACTAGGTAACTCATGTTGTGACCCTGCCCCTGGGAGGTCTGGATCTTGAGCATGTAGGGGCCAATGACTGCATTGGCTGGTGTAAAGAGGGAGACTTGGAGTGAGTTCAGGTCAATGGTGAAGTCAGAAACCCTCCAGACATTCCCATGTTGGGCACTCTTGAGTAAGAAGGTGGCTCGGGTCCCCAGTAGCTCCAAGGGCTCTGGTCCTGTGTAGAAGAATGATCCTAAAGCTTAAAAACGTCTTTGTAGTGTGATTCGAGGGGGACTGGAAAGACCCCCACCTTCTCGCACCACTTGCTAAACCTTTCAGTTTAAGGCTTTTACTGCCACTAGGCAACTCTGAGCCCACTTAAGATTTCTGGGCCTCGGTTTTCTTATCTGTAAAATGGGGATTGTAATAGTACCCAACAGAAAGTTCATGTCTTAAAATTTAAATAAGATAATGTATATGAAGTTTTAACACAATTCTTGGTGTGTAATTAAAGATTGGCTGTTATTACTATGGAGTGCCTAAGTGTGCAAATGGTTAATGTGCTCACTGCTAACCGACAGGTTGGTAGCCCAACTCCACCTAAAGACCTCAGAAGAAACATTTGGCAATCTACTCTGAAAAATCAGCCATTGGAAGCCCTATGGAGCACAGTCCTACTGTGACACATGCCGTGAGTTAGAATTGACTCAATGGCACTGTTTTTTTTTTTTTTTTTTTGGTTATGATACTTTATCAGTTTGCTGAGATGGCTGTATCTTTCTTTAACAGTACTGAGAGAAACTCCACATGAGAGTCCTAGGGAGCTCCCAGGAGAAGAGAGGGGAAGGAGGCTCAGAAAAGAGGGCAGGGACCCTGCAGGTGACCTTTGCTAGCACTTCCATTCTGAGGGAGCCCAAAGGGCTTTGAGGCAGGGGCAAACTCACCAGTCTCAGCCATGAAGGTGATGTTGTCAGTCTGGGGCTGGAAGCTCCGGTTGAAGCTCAGGACGATGGTGAAGGCCTGGCCACGGCGTACGATGAGCCGTTTCAGGCCCATCTCCTGTGTGTGGTGCTCCTTGTTATTCTTGAGACTCTGCAGGTCGATGGACCTGAGCTCCAAGGCTGCCACTGGGGGAGATCAGGGGACAGGTCATGCCCAGCTGCAGCTCCCTGGGTTCAGGAGTCCCTTGACACTTCTCAGACTCTTCAGTGGCACTGGCCTCTGACTTGGGTAAAATTCCTTCCCAGCTCTTAGCCCTGCCCCCTGATATCACGACTCAGCGTCAGCGGACAGTGCAGGAGGTCCTGGCCCAGTTGTGCGAGCACTACAATCCTATCCTAGTGACCTCTGCATCTGAGCCCAGAGCCACAGTGCTCCCAAATTGTTGTTCTTGTTAGCTGCTGTCGTTGTGTTGGCCCCTGACTCATGGTGACCACGTGCTCAACATATCAAAATACTGCCTGGTGCTGCCTCATCCCCATGACTTCAGATTGGACCATTGGGATCCATCAGGTTTTCACTGGCTGATTTTTGGAAGCAGACTACCCGGCCTCTCTTCCTAGTCAGTCTTAGTCTGGAAGTCTGCTGAAATGTGTGTAGCATCATAGCAACATGCAAGCCTCCACTAATAGATCTGACACGTGGATCTGATTTGATTTGATTCCTGGCCAGTACTCAAGACCTAGAGGTCCCAGAAAGCAAAACGTTTCCAGATAACTGAAATGGAGAGCCACAGCATACTCATAACTTTTTCTGTTGAACATCTGTCTAAAAGTTACCCTATGATCCTGCTGATGTGATAATTAGCATATTAAACTTTGTATAAATTAAGTCAATGAGCTGACAGAAGACTGGAACCTCAGCAATAGGGTAAGTCCCTACTTTTGAATACTGTGGGTGGAGGTGAGGGGTTCAGGGCTACTACAGCTATTGCTTCTCAGCTGCGTTCCACATATACGGAACTTAAGCAAGTCACTTAATGTCTCCGTGTTCTCATCTGAAACATGGAGACAATAATAATCCTACCTCGTAGGGTTCGCGTGAGCATTAAGTGAGGATGCACACGTGAAATGCTTAGCATAGTGCTAGGGACAGAGTAAGCACTCAGCAGTTATTAGCTACTATTAGTAGTAGAGGAATCTCTGGGTGTTGCAAACAGTTAGAGCACTCAGCTGCTAACTGAAAGGTTGGCAGTTCAAGTCTACCCAGAGGTGCCTCAGACGAAAGGCTTGGTGATCTACTTCTGAAAACTCAGCCATTGAAAACTCTATGGAGCACAGTTCTACTCTCACCATGGGATCCCCATAAATCAGAGTAGATTCAACAACAACCGGAAAATTGGTAGTAGTAATAACGCAGCTTCAGATTGCATTTGCTTTGCTATTTTGCTGGCAATGTTTATATTACATTCACAGTCAACTAAATTCTATTAGAACTTTCCCCCAGGAGTACATCAATTTATCTCAGTGATTCTTAGTCAGGGCAATTTTAGCCCCCTATGGCAGTCCTAAGGTATTTGACTACTAAGCAGAAGGCTGGTGGTTCAAATTCACCAGCCACCTCTTGGAAAGAAGATTGGGCAATCTACTTCCATAGTGATACTGCCTTGGAAACCCAAAGAGAGGGGTTGCTATTAGTTGGATTCGACTCCATGGAAGTGAGTTTGGGGTGGTTTTTTTTTTTCTTGTTTAGGGGACATTTATCTATGTCTGGAGATGTTCTTTGGTCATCAACTTAGGGAGAGGACTGCTTCTGGTATCTCTAGTGAGTAGAGCAGCATCCTAGAGGAAAAAGTCACGTTTGCTCCCAGCCAGATTGTGTATCATTTGTGTTTTGAACTTCCACTTATGTTTTTTATGTTTTTTTCTAAATGAGTTCATTTTGAGTCCATCTTTCCTTCTTGTGTGGAACTTTTTGAATCCTAATCCTTTCACCCAAATGCTTTACCTCACCATCTGCAAAATTTGAACTGTCTTTCACACCTTAATTCAAGTCATTACCAAGATGGTTTTAAACTTTAGCGCTTAAGTCAGATCTCAGTGGTATCATCTGAACTATTTTCCAGGTTAACAGTGAACCATTAGGAAAAACTCTTGGAGGATATTGTTCAAGAAGCTGTGACTACATCTAATTCTTTAAATCATGAAGTTGGGTTAGGTGTCTTAAAGTTTCCTTTACACCCTAAACTCAATTTCAGTTTTCTTATTTGCACCTTTCCCACAAGTTTTTCAAACTTCTAACTAGAAGCAGAATGTCCATGACTGTCCCTTGATTCCCCTTCTAGTAATAAATAATCTCTCATAAAAGAAAAATTAAGATCATCCTGACTTGTTCTGAATAAACCTACTGGCTCCCACTGATCTCAGTATTCTTTCCTAAGTACTAACAATCAAAACCAGAAACCAAACCAAAATCACTGCCATTGAGTCAATTCTGACTTATAGTGACCCCATTGGGTTTCCAAGGTGATAAATCTTTACAGAAGTGAATTGCCTCGTCTCCCTTCCATGGAGTGGCTGGTGAGTTTGAACCGCTAACCTTCTGGTTAGCAGTCAAATACCTTAGGCACTATGCCACCATTTTTTGTTTTGTTCTGTTTTTTTTTTTTACTAAAAATTGGTCTGGTGTGTGTGTGTGTGTACATGTGTGTGTGCTGTTTTGGGGTGAAGTGCTCTGTAGATGTCTATGAGGTCTAGTTGGTTGATTGTATTGCTTAGTTCTTCTGCATATTTGTTGACTTTCTTTCTAGTTCTATCTCTCACTGAAAGTGGTGTATTAAAGTCTCCTACTGTTAATGTGGAGTCATCTATTCATCTTTTGAATTCTGCTAAATTCTGATTTATGTATTTTGGGGCTTTTTCATCGGGTGTGTAGAAATTTATTATGGTTATGTCCTCTTGTTCAATCAATCCTTTAATCATTATATAATGTCCTTCCTTGTGTCTTATGGTGGCTTTGTCTTAAAGTTCATTTTATCAGAAATTAATATTGCCACTCCTGCTCTTTTTTTTTAATCTTTTTGTTTTGTTTTAGAACATTATTTTTATTTTTTATTTTATTGTGCTTGGGAGGCAAATTTACAGAGCAGAATTTGGTTTACATTCAACAGTTCATGTACATTTGGTTTCACTCCCCACTTACCATCCCCAAACCTAACCCACTCTCCTCCTCTCCCTTCCCTGTGACTCCCCCATCCCTGTACCCTTCTTAGTTATGCACTCCTGTCCATCCAGCTTGCCCTCCATGTGAATGCTGCCCCTCTGGTGCCCCATGGCCAATTGTTCCAAAGGATGTATCTCTGTAGATTAGGTGGGTGCATTACCATGGATTGGGTATTCTGCATGTAAGTCTTACTACTGTTGGGCTGAGAGCCAGCCTTTGGGAGTGAGTCTTATCCCAGGCCCAAAGTGTATCCCAGGGCCTTAGTCTTGGGGACCCACCAGACTCCACCTGACCAGTAATTCTGGTCATTACCATGTTTTTGAATTTTGTTCCATGTTTTTCCTTCCACTCAATCCAGGATCTCCAGTTTTGATTCCTTCCTGAGTGCTTGGCATTTATAGCCAGGCATCATCTCGTTCTCCTGCTCTTTTTTAATTACCATTTGCTTGATATCTTTTCCCAACCTTTGATCTTTAGTCTATTTTTGTCTTTATGTCTAAGGTGAGTCTCTTATAGACAGCATACTGATGGCTCATGTTTTCTTACCCAGTCTGCAACTCTCTGTCTCTTGAATGGTGCATTTAATCCATTTACATTCAGTGTAATTATCGACAAGTATGCATTTATTGCTGTCATTTTGTTATGTGTTTTTTCATGGTGTTACTGATTCTTTGTTCCATATAATTTTCTGTGCTGAGCTCGTTTTGTTTATTTTTGTTATCATTTCCTTTGTTGCTATTGTTTTAGTATTTGCTAAGTGTTTGTGCCTCTCCTCTTTTTCATTTTGATGCAAAGGTTTATTATTTTTTCTTTGAGGTTACTTTGTGATTATAATTTTCTACCCAAGTTTAGAAAAGTCTGTTCTATCTTGCAGTTGTCTTGACTTCTTCACCATTTGGAAGATCTGTATCTACACTATTTAGTTTCTCTTTTTGGTTTGTAGTTGTCCTCATTTACCAATTGACATCTCTGGTTCCCTGTTTACAGTCTTGTAAGCTTATTTTACTTTGGATACTTCTATAACTAGGTTGATTTCTGGGTTATGTTGTCATGTGTGTTAATCATTGGCTGTTGTCTGCTGTTACTGGTTCTCTGTCCAAAAGACTCTCTTTAACATCTCTTGTAAGATTGGTCTGGTTTTAACAAATTCCTTTAATTTCTGCTTATCTGAAAATATCCTAATTTCACCATGATATTTGAGGGACAATTTTGCTGGGTATATAATTCTTGGTTGGGAATTTTTTTCTTTCAGGAATACACACACACACACATACATATACATATATATCTGGTAGCATAGTGCCTAAGGCACTTGACTGCTAACCAGAAGGCTCGTGGTTCAAACCCACCAGCCACTCCTTGGAAGAAGATGGGACAATCTAATTCCATAGTGATACTGCCTCAGAAACCCAAGGAGGGTTTGCTATGAGTCAGGTCCGACTCAATGGCACATAACAACAACGACAACATACATATATATCATCCCACTGTCTTCTCACCTGCATGATTTCTGCCAAGAAATCAGAGTTTAGTCTTATTGGTCACCCTTTGTAGGCAACTTTTTATTTTTCTTGTGGTGCTTTCAGGATTCTTGGTCTTTGGCTTTGGTAAGTTTAATCATGATATGTCTTGGTGATTTTCTCCTGTTTGGAGTTTGCTGAACTTCTTGAAAGGATATCTTCTCATCTTTCATCATATAAGGGAAATTCTCTTCAACAATTTTCTTTGTGGTTTTATTTGTCTCTTCCTGTTCTGGAATTCCAATTACATATAGATTATTCATCTTGACAGTATCCCACATGAATATTAAGCTTTCTTCATTTTGTTTTGATGTTTTTTCCTGATTGATCCCTTAACAAAGCAGTATTTGTCTTCAATCTCATTAATTCTGTCTTCCATTGATTAGATTCTACTCCTTTGCTCATTCAATGTGTTATCTATTTCTGAAATCTTAGTATTAATTGTCTGGATTTCTATTTATTGTTTTTGTGTCATTTCTAACTTTTCATTTATTTTGTCAGTTTGTTTTTGTATTGCTTTCCTAAAATGTTCTGGAGTTTTATCTGTGTTTTCCTTAATATTGTCAGTCTTTTCCTTGATCTGTCTCTCAATCTGTTGAAGGTACTTAAATTTAGTTCTTTTGAATTCTTTATCAGGAAGTTCCATGCTGCTTCTTTCTCAGGGATGTCTTCTGGGTCTATATCCTGCTCCCTTGTTTGTACTACTTTATCTTGCTTCTTTGTGTGGACTGGGATGGCCAGTTGTCTCTGAGACATTGTGATGTTGTTATATTTATATTTAATTGGTGTTTATATGTTGGTATGATTTGCCCAAGATTTTTTTTTCCCTTTTTTATTTTGTTTTGATATCTGTGTGAGCAGGGCACTGTGTTCCTCTGTTCGCTAGTTGGCAACACTTGGGCTCTCACCACCTGTCTCCTGCTGGGTGTGATAAGAGTGTGTGCCATATCTCTGTTAGCTATTCATAAAGAGCAGTTGAGGGTGAGTTGAGCTGGTATTGGCCACTGTCTGTCATTGGTCAGTTGGTGCAGAAGCAAGTGGTGGCCCTCATTTAGTGGGTGGGGCTTTTTAGCCATCAGCCTCCAGTGTGGTTGCCTGTGCTGTCCTCAGCAAGTGGAATAATCAGTCTGTTTAATCATCTATTCTACAATTTTAGCTCATACCTGGTCAAAGTCAGGCATGGATTATTGTCTACCTTCTAGCAAACAGTTAAGCATTCAACTACTAACCAAAAGTTTGACAGTTCAAGCCCACCCAGGGATGCCTTGGAATAAAGGCCTAGCAATCTGCTTCTGAAAGATCACAGCCTTGAAAACTTACAGAGCAGTTCTACTCTGATGCACTTGGGGTCACCATGAGTTGCAGTTAATTCAATGGCAACTGATTTGGTGTTTTTGGT